CCACCACTCTTGATCTCACATAGTTAATTCAAACATGCCAAATTTATTAATATATTTATTATCCAGCTGGACTAGTTTTTCTGCTCCTGAAAATGTTACAGAGTCTGTGATTTGCTCTCGCACTGCAGGCTTACTTGTTGTTCCTAGAGTATTTAAGAGTAGAATGGGAGGGAGAGCCTTCAGATTTCAGGCCCCTCTTCTGTGGAAACAACTTCCAGTTTGGATTCGGGAGACAGACACTATCTCTACTTTTAAGATTAGGCTTAAAACTTTCCTTTTTTAAAAAAAAAAAAGCGTATAGTTAGGGTTGGATCAACTGACCCTGAATCCTCCCTTAGTTATGCTGTAATAGGTGTAAACTGCTGAGGTATTCCCATGATGCATTGAGTATTTCCTTTTCAGTCAATTGTCTCACTCAGCATTAATAGACCTTTCTGCTCAATCACATGTGTTATTAATCTCTGGCTCTCCTCCACAGCATGTTTTTCATCCCGTCTTCCTTCTCTCAACCCAACCAGTCGCAGCAGATGGCCGCCCCTCCCTGAGCCTGGTTCTGCTGGAGGTTTCTTCCTGTTAAAAGGCAGTTTTTCCTTCCCACTGTTGCCAAAGTGCTTGCTCATAGGGGGTCATATGATTGTTGTTTTTTTTCCCTGTATGTATTATTGTAGGGTCTACCTTACAATATAAAGTGCCTTGAGGCGACTGTTGTTGTGATTTGGCACTATATAAATAAAATTGAAGAGAAATTGAAAACAGATAAGTCAAACTTTACTTGACTCAATCTTCTTGCTTCCTCCACTTCTGTACCATTGATTCATTAATGTCAAATTATCTCGCAGCTGCTCTATTCCCATGTTGTTGCAATATATTAATGACTAACCTTGTATTGTGGATGGATTATCTAAGTTGCTCTCTGACTGAAGTTTGCATTTGTCCCAAACCATCGGGAACCCTCACGTTAACTTTTATCGAGTGAAAAAAAGTTAGCGTTCATCCTCCAGCTTCACTGTGTTTATGTTATGCTAACATAGCTGTGTTGCTAGCGGTGACATAGCACATCATTATATACCAGCTAGTGCAACTTCAGTAACCTTACAAATGTCACAGCTGTTTGACTCACTAAGTTTCAACATGCTTACAAACCTGGTCATTCCACCAGCTCAGCTCTCATTTATTTGACAGATAACTGGTATAAAGATCTAGATTATGGGAAAATGGTTGGGATGGTATTCTTGGACTTTAGTGCTGCATTTGATTTAATAAATCGTGATCTTTCAATTGATAACCTAAAATGTTGTGGATTTTCATCAGATGCTCTGCGCTGGATGAAAAGTTTTTTGTCTGGAAGAAGGCAAAAGGTTTATTCTAATGGTCATTTCTCAGAGGGCTGCAACATGAACTGTGGTCTACCCCAGAGCAGCTGCCTCGGTCCACTTCTCTATTCAGTTTTCACAAATGATCTGCTATGTATCTTGGGTAAATCTAATCTTTTAATGTATGCCAATGATTCCACCATGTTTTATTCGGCCAGTGACAACTCTTAAGCAGTGCAATTTGAGTTCTAAGCATCCCAGCAACTATTCAGAAAAGCATGAAGTCAAACATGACTTATAAAAACACCAGTATAGGCTTTTAAGGTCTGGAAGTAAAAAAAACTACATTTTCCGCGAAAATGACGTCACTTCCGGTTTCGGGCAGGTATTGGCGGACATGCGATCGTTCGCGCTGATGTCTGTTTCAATGTGGGAACTGTTACAAACAGCTGATTGGATCGGCAAAGCGCGTTTCTGGAATATTATGTTTTTGTTCCTGCAAGCACTTTTTATGCAATATTTGCAAAGCTATATGTGGAAGGAAACCTGACCTAGGACAAGCTGATGGCATAAGATGTAAGTACAACTCCTCCGGTTTCATATGCAAAAAAAATTATTGCGCTAGTTTACGCGGTTCCGGTTCTACAAGGATTTAGTATACCCGCTCCGACCGGCTTTAAAGCGTTAATTGACCAGCGTATTACAACAAGATTTGCTAAAAATGTTTTACTGAAGTAAAAACAACAAGATTCTAAATGTATCCAAATCTAAATCTATGTTAATTGGAAGTAAAACACGTTTAGTCAACAGTCCACAACTGAATCTTTCCATATCCGGATAAGTATTAGAGCAGGTCACATAGGTTAAACTACTTGGTGTTACCATAAATCACCACCTTTCATGGTCTCAGCACATAGCCTTTGTTATTAAGAAAATGGGACAGGACATAGCTATGGCTACGAAATGGTCTTTCTATATCGTCATCATGAAAGATGTGTCCAAAAGTTGATTATGTTCATCTGGACGTAGTGTTTTCAGTGGGAGAAACGTTTCGTCACTCATCCAAGGGACTTCTTCAGTTTCAGCTGACTGCAGGTTTCCCCAATCTTGTAAACAGTAGATTTGCATAATGACTGAAACTAGCACCACTGAAGGAACAATCGGCTGGGAGGTCAGTTCCTTCATCATAATTAGGCAAATTCTCATGACCATTGATCAATAACCACTGATCAAGGCCCACTGATAAAAGGCCACTGATCAATGGCCATGAGCACCATTCACATAGAGTTAGGGAATGACTGCAATCATTGTAAGATGGCAAAAGATGTACCCCTAGGCCCCCTCCATGATTCAGAGATAGTCTTTGAATCATGGAGTTCTGGCCTGACAAAGTAGCTCTTCTGTGTTGTGTCATCCACTTCGCCAGAGGTTATTTGGTTTTCCCGATGTATAAATCCTGGCAATCCTCCTGGCACTTAACAGCGTGCACTATGTTACTTTGTCTGTGTGTGTGTGTGCGTGTGTGGGGGGGGCGATCCTTGGGGTGTACCAATTTTTGGTGCAGCGTGCTTTGGAGTTTAAAAGCATCTCAACTGTTCTGATACTCCTGACAAATATGGGATCACTACATGTTTTCACTTAGGCAGCGGTTGTCCTTCTCTCCTGGATTGGCTGGAGCTTTCTTTTGGCGTCTTCCCAGCTTTAACAAATGTCCAGCTGGAATAATGACATTTACTCAGGGCCTTCTATATGTGACGTTCTTCTGCTTCCCTAGCCGCTGTGTATGTGAGGATGGTGTTCGCTCTGTGTTGTAGCATCTTGATGACACCCAGTTTATGCTTCAGTGGATGATGAGAGTCGAACCTTAATTACTGATCCATATGCGTAGGTTTACGGTACACATCAGCTTTTAGATGTCCCCCATTACTGATGGAAATCTCACAGTCTAAGAAGGCTAACCTGCCACTTTTCATATCCTCCCTGGTGAATTTGATGCGTTGGTCCACCGAGTTAATGTGATCTGTAAAATGTGGTACGGCCTGAGATTTGATTTTCACCCAGGTGTCATCCACATACCTGAGCCAATGACTTGGTGGTGTTCCATGGTAGGATCACAAAGCCTTCTATTCCACTTCTTCCATGTACAAATTTGCCACGATGGGTGGAACTGCAGAACCCATGGCACACCCATCTTTCTGCCTGTAAAATTGACCCTTGTATGTGAAGTAGGTGGAATGAAGACACAGTTCCAAAAGCAAACACACTTGGTTGATGCTGAGAGTGGTACTGTTGCTGAGTTTGGGGTCATCCTGTAATCTCTTATGAACTACCTCCAACGCGTCCGTGAGTGGGATGCAAGTGAAGAGAGATGTAACATTGTACGAGACCATGGTTTCATCTGCCTCCATAATGACATCTCTCACCTTCTCAACAAAATCCAGGGTGTTTTGGATGTGGTGTTCAAAGCTGCCTACCAGTGAGTTGAGGATCAAAGCCAGAAACTTAGAGGTGTTATAGGTTTCGGAGTTCTTAAAGGTGCACCCTGTTTATGTATCTTAAGTAAACCATAGCGACTAGGTGTAGATTCGCCTGAGTATAGCCTGTAGTATGAGGTCCGGTCATTAGCATTGTCTTGTTCTAACTGCTTCAGATAGTCTATCACCCTCTTCCTGTAACCACTTCCTGGGTCTTGTTTCATGGGCTCATAAATATTTTCGTCACTGAGCAGTGACAAAGTTTTCTCATTATAGTCTTTCTGGTTTAGCAATACTGTGCACCTACCCTTATCTGGTTCAAGGTTCAAGGTTCAAGGTTCTTTATTTGTCACATGCATAGTTATACAAGTATAACACACAGTGAAATGTAACCTGACACGCTCCTCGACATGTGCAAAAAATTGGGGGGGTGTTGCTGGAAGGATGATAATGTTGTTGTAATTACTAAGTTAAGTGAGTGCCTTCCTTTCCTCCATGGCGATGTTGGATGCTGGGGGCTTTGCATTTCTGAGACAGGCCGAAACTTTTATCCATAGTTGCTCAGCTTCCACTTCTGTAGTATTGTTGTTTCAAATGGCTGTTTCTGTGGGTGTGATCAGTCCCTTCATTTTTGTTCTTTCAGTGGTGCTACTTTCAGTCATTGTGCAAATGTACTGTTTATAATATTGGGGAAACCTGCAGTCAGCTGAGACTGAAGAAGTCACTTGGATGAGTGACAAAACGTTTCTCCCACTGAAAATGCTACGTCCAGATGAACATAATCAACTTTTGGAGATTTACTTGACTGATTTCCTGGATGGTTGAGATGCATCAAGACATGAAAGATGTCATTAATGCACTAGTATTGTCTCATTTGGAGTATTGTTCAAGCAGCTAATAAGACAGAGCTTAACAAACTTCAGTTAGTTCTGAATAAGGCGGTTGAGATGTTGATTCTATACCAGTATCAATCGAATGCATAACAAACATTTTATTAGTTTTATTAGATTGTATTTGATGGCTTGGGCCCCAGGAAGACTAGCAACCACTATTGTGGAAGCTAAAGGGGTTCCTTATAAATAAATAAAAATAAATAAAATAAATCTTGCATAAGTACACCCCCCTCCCCCCACCCCCCAGTGTTCCTTGCAAACTCTAAATGAAATAAACAGGGATTAAAGGACATAATATGTTTCCAGCTCTTCCTCCTTTATCAGACATTCTCTCCATACCTCAGAGTGTCCAGTCTCCAGTGTGGATCCTTAAGTCCAGCCAACAGCACGTTAATTCCTGAGGAGCCTGGATGATTGTAGCTCAGGTCCAGCTCTCTCAGATGGGAGGGGTTGGAGCTCAGAGCTGAAGCCAGAGAACTACAGCCTTCCTCTGTGATCAGACAGCCTGACAGACTGTACAGACAAAAATTAAAATTAATCTAAAAAGATTTTCACTTAAGGTCTCTCTTTGCTGGACCCTCATTCATTCCATCCATTCAATTCAAGTTAGGATTTTAAAACAGCAACTGAAAAAAAACTGTGACCTCTTCTAGTTTAGCAGTAGACTCTACAGTATTACAAAGAACATCTGAAACAGCTTCAGTGTGAAGAAGAGGATTGTGAAAGCTGCAGATTCTGCCACATCGGTGTGTATTGCAGGAGTTTTAAATCATGAGGCTTTGCGGGTAAACCTTTGAAAAAAACACAATGCAATGTTGTTTCTTCCAGTGACTTCTTCAAGTCCTGTATCTGTGGTAATCTAACAGTGGAAAACACTTATCATTTGGCGAATATCACAGTGGCTATCTGCATCTTAAGCTGGAGGCCATCACCCAATGAAGCCAACAGAACCACATCATCTGCGAAAAGCAGAGATGAGATTCTGAGGTCACCTAAGTGATAGCCCTCCGCCACTTGGCTGCGCCTAGAAATCCTGTCTATAAAAGTTATGAGGAGAATCGGTGACAAACGGCAGCCCTGGCCAAGCCCACCACCCACCGGGAAAAGGTCTGACTTATTGCCGGCTATGCAAACCAAGCTTTTGCAATAGTTGTATAGAGATCGAATGGCCTGTAGCAATGGAACAGACACCCCATACTCCTGCAGCACCTCCCACAGAACACCCCGAGGGACACGGTTGAATGCCTTCTCCACATCCACAAAACACATGTAGACTCGTTGGGGAAACTCCCATGCACCCTAAAGTATCCTTGAGAGGATAAAGAGCTTGTCCAGTGTTCCACGACCAGGACGAAAACCGCATTGTTCCTCCTGTATCCAAAGTTCGACTAATGGACGAATTCTCCTTTCAAGCACCCTGGCATAGATTTTCCCAGGGATGCTGAGGACTGTGATCCCCCTGTAGTTGGAACACACCCTCCAGTACCCCTTCTTAAAAATTGGGACCACCACCCCGGTCTGCCAGTCCAGGAGTAGCGCTTCTGATCTCCACGCAACATTGTAGAGGCATGTCAGCCAGGACATCCCTACAACATCCAGAGCCTGTTTTGGTAGCCAGGGATCAGTGCGCAAGGGCCTCTGCTCCTGGCTGCCGCCAGGCACACAAAGCACCCGACCCCTATGGCGCCCCCTACAGGTGGTGGGCTTACAGGAGGGTGGGCCCATGTCCCCTTTTCGGGCTGTGCCTGTCGAGCCGCATGGACTGAAGCCTGACCACCAGACGCTCACCCTTGGACACCCTCTCCGGGCCTGACTCCAGGGCGGGGCCCCGGTAAACATATCCCGCGCAGGGTAAAATGTTCCCTAGGTGATATTCAACAGGAATTAAAACAAGATAATATGGGAGAAATATATTCTCTGAAAGGATATAGTCTCTCTTCACAGTCCTTGTTACTACTGTCATCTACCAGGGTCAGATGACTCTGCGTTTAAGTTTTGTTTATTCAGTGTTCTGGGATTTTGTTGGGTTTTCATAGTTTTGTCTTTCGTATTTCATGTTCCTTAATTTATCTTTAGATCACTGTGATTTTCCAGCTTTTAGGTTTTGTCTCTGTGCCTCCCTAGTGTTCCTTGTTTCTTGTGTTCCTGGTTTGATGTTTGTGTTATTTCATGTTCCCATTCCCTCATTACTTCATTGTATATTTAAGCCCTGTATTTTCCGATGCCCTTTGTTGCATCGTACCCACTTATCTGTGTAAGTCTCTTCCTGTGTTTCTAGTTTCAGTGTTAGTTCCTCGTTTCTGGATTCCTGGCGTTTGAGTTGAAACAGTATTTTTAATTGTATCTTTAATGTCCGTATTAGAGAACATAACATGAACAAAAAGGACTTTGGGATTTATTGCAGTATTATAAAAAAACTTTACTGACAGTAATTTAAAATAATCGAACCAAAGGTATATAAAAGGCCCCTGTTAATACTATAACCTTCAGACATATATTCAGTAATGCAATACAGATTCTAAATAATGCTGAGTGACAAAGACTGAATCCTGACCTCAGAGTTTCCAGGATACAATGTGTACTGTTCAGTGTAACAGACAGAAGCTTAACTCCTGCATCCTCTATGTCGTTTTCACTCAGGTCCAGCTCTCTCAGGCTAGAGGATTGGGAGCTGAGAGCTGAGGACAGAGCTTCACAGCTTCTCTGTGAGAGGTTACAGGCACTCAGTCTGAAAAATAATCAACACAAAGACAAAAAAATAAATTAATAAAAACACAAAACAACAACACTGAAATTAAAATGCATTGATGGTATAGTTAGAAGTGACTATATCTGGCAATATTTAATGTTCCTCAAGGACTGGTTGGATTTGCTATTGTCTGATTTTAAACACATCAGGAAGTCACTGTCATTTACAAATCATGAGAAATGATACACTACAATAACATGCATGTAACTGACCTTTATTAGCTAAAAGTTTAATTGGTTAATTATCTCATTTGACATAAATAAGCATCCTTAATCTGACCTCAGAGTTGCCAGTTTACAATGTGGACTTTTCAGTCCAGCAGACAGAAGCTTCACTCCTGAATCTTGTATGTTGTTGTTACTCAGGTCCAGCTCTCTCAGTCGTGAGGCCTGGGAGCTGAGAACTGAGGAAATTGCGTAACCACTTCTCTCTGAGAGGAAACAGCTGCTTAGTCTAGAAATAAAGAACACACACACACACACACACACACACACACACACACACACACACACACACACACACACACACACA